TATAAATATAGTCATAATAAAGCCTGTTTTTCACTTAGTTCTATTCGTATTACTAAAACATACTTGTCACACAGATTACTTGATTTGCAAAATAATCGTTAGTTAAGCCCTAGATGTGTTAAAACATTTCAAAATATAACTGCATTGTTCTACTTTTTGTAATTAAAAGACAAATATTTTGTCATTCAAATATTTCTTAAAGTATTAAAACATTGTCTCGTTCTATTGAACCAAGTATATGCATTTTGTCTCATCTCGTGAGCTAAGTTTATTGTCACACCCCTAGTGTCGATAAGCGGTGATATAGCTCATAATTTTCCAAGTGTATGATATAGCCTAGCTTTCATTCTTCAGGTCAATCATATACTCGTGAAAAAAAAAATCAGTTTGAATATTTCCAAGTGTATGATATAGCTTTCATTCTTCAGGTCAATCATATACTCGTGGAAAAATAATCAGTTTGAATAAGGAAAGCGATAACTTTGGCATAGTATCTTTTCAAATGTTAAAGTTGCCACAGTCATTGCATTCTTTGCATGTGCTGCACTTTATTTGTACCATTTGTTTTATTAGTTTATACATTAGAATGTGAAAGACAATAACAATATTTTTTGATAAGTGATAAGTGAGATCTGATTTTAGTCCTTGAAAACCAAAAGAGTAGTACTTGAAAAGTCCTTGAAAGTCCTGGATTTTTTTTTTTTTTTTGCTCTAACTCTTGTAAAGTTCATGGCCATTTTTGCTGTATTACAACCTAATTTAAAAAACTTATCCGTTTGTCTACCATGTACCAATACATATAATTCATCCGAGGTTTTTTGACTCTGTTGACGTTGTAAGTGTCAGAATGTCAATGTTTCAGCAGTTCTGTCTCATTTGCTCTCATTATATTGTTTTTACGAGCTGCTCTGTAGAGATTGACATCAGATGTTTAAAGTCCGTGTAAAGCAATATTAAATGTGTTTGGACTTTAAATCAAGCCTGTTTGATTGACTGTGTCAGGCTGAAGCCGCAGGAGGAGCCGCGCAGCTGGAGGGACACGGCACACGCGTGTGCGAGCGAGAGCGCCGACGAACACGTGACACGTCTGCTGGAGGAGAGAGACACGCTGCTGCGCACCGGCGTCTACACGCATGACGACAGGATCATCTCTGAGCTCGACCGGCAGATCCAGCAGGCCATGAGCCACAGAAACACGTGACACGCGGGGCATCAGCGCACCAGTTCACTTCCATGATGTAGATGTGTGGTTTCAGCAGGTGGCGCTGCTTCTCAATAAATCACTGCAGGATTATTAACACTTCAGAGATTCATAAGCCTTTTTATGTGACTGTTTATAGTTTGAGTGTGTTTGACTGTGTGTGTGTGTGTGTGTGTGTGTGTGTGTGTTTGTGAGAGAGAGAGAGTAGTGAGTGTGTGTGTGAGAGAGAGTGTGTGCGTGCGTGTGTGAGAGAGAGAGAGTGAGTGTGTGTGTGTGTGTGAGAGAGTGAGTTCTGAAAGTTCATGTGTTTGTTCATCAGTTCAAACCCTCCAAACAAATGAGCATCTCCGTTCATCTCTGTTCTCTGCATAATAAGCTTATTACAGTGTTTTATGAACTAATATTATTGTAAGTGTTCCTCTTAACTCAGCCCTTTTTCAATGGAAGAATAACACGCAGCTGCTGACAGTGTAAGTGCTTTCATGCTGTTTATCGTCCGCATATTCCCACCAGTGTTATTATTCTAATGCGCTCATGGTATCAGAGTTTGACATGGTTTCAGAAATACTTCCATGAACTCGTGAACTCGGAGCCGAGCGTTGATGATGTTTCTCCTACTGTACGAGCCGCCGCTGCTTTCTTCACTCAGTGCTCTACAAAGTAACACACACCTTTGTTTACGTCTGTGTGTTGCTCGGCAACCACTTTGTAGCAACCACAACTGTTTCTGAGGAGCTACATTGTTTGGTGGAAGAATACTGTTTTTATTAATATCATTACACTTTATTTGCTCTGTTTTATTCTGTGAAACCTAACTACGTATATGGAATAACCGTTTTATAAAAGCAATAAGCCCCATGAAGCCATGGTTTACAGTGAATTTATAACAGCTGTGGGGGGCTTCGCATTGTACCTGAGAGAGAGAGTGAGTGTGTGTGAGAGAGCGAGAGTGAGTGTGTGTGTGAGAGAGTGTGAGTGTGTGTGTGAGAGAGAGAGGGAGTGTGTTGCTAGATTTGTGACTGTCGCTTTAAATAAATATTTTTCTGATCTCTTTTCATACTCTGTCTTGACTTTTTCATTCAGTTTGTTGTGTTGAAAAAAGGATCAAGTCTTTTAATCGTTCGGGGACAGGTTTGGTCATTTTGTTTGGTTTATATGCGTGTCGTGTGTTTTGAATATGGTGTTAAATCATCATTTACTCGCCCTCGTGTTGTTTTAAACCCGATTCCTCTGATTTCTTCTGGATCTTGTCTGTCGTGATCACTGCAAAAGAACAGTGGAACGTTCTTCAGAAATTCTGTTTGTTGTTCCACAGAAGAAATAATGTCACGAGTTTAAGTAAATTTTGATCAGCTTCTCGGAAAACTTGTGTAATTTTGCTTCTGAGGTAAATATATCTTGATTAAAGAGTCTTTAGATATCTGCACTGAAGAACAAGACAAAAACACACTTTTCTGCAGTGATCAGAAATTACAACAGAGGGTTTTTTTCTTTAATGCATTAAAAAGTAATGGAGATCAGTTAAACGTTGTATTTCTAATTTTAGTGTGAATTGTTTTGTTTTTGCCTGTAAAACACCAAACTGCATTGATTTTTTGAAAAAGTGTTATAGAAATAAAGTTGATTGATTGACGCACACACATTATATATATATATACACACACTGCTGTTCAAAAGTTTGGGATCAGTAAGATTTATAATGTTTTAAAGAAGTCTCCTGCTCAGCAAGGCTGCATTTATTTCATCAGAAATACAGTAAAAATTGTGAAATATTATTAGAATGTAAAACAGATGTTTTCTATGTGAATATCTGTTAAACTGTAATGTATTTCTGTGATGCGCAGCTGTATTTTCAGCATCATTCCTCCAGTCTTCAGTGTCACATGATCTTCAGAAATCATTCTAATATGCTGATCGAGAAACATTTCTGATTATTATCAATGTTGAAAACAGTCGTGCTGCACAATATTTTTGTGGAAACATACTTTTTTCAGGATTATTTGAAATTTTAAAACAGTAAGGGGGGTTTGTTAGGCAGACGCGAAGCTGTTATAAATTCACTGTAAACCACGGCTTCACAGGGATTATTGCTTTAATTTCTCACAGACTTTACATTTTTTCCAATTTAGACTTTTTGGAGACCTTTCAGAAAGTCCAAGCTTCTTGCTAATTGCTTGTGAAAGTGTGACCTCAGAGCGCCGAGCAGGAAATTCCAGAGCGGATTTATAATGTTTTAAAGAAGTCTCCTGCTCAGCAAGGCTGCATTTATTTCATCAGAAATACAGTAAAAATTGTGAAATATTATTAGAATGTAAAACAGATGTTTTCTATGTGAATATCTGTTAAACTGTAATGTATTTCTGTGATGCGCAGCTGTATTTTCAGCATCGCGTCTGCCTAACAACGCCCCTTGGCTGTTATAAATTCACTGTAAACCACGGCTTCACAGGGATTATTGCTTTAATTTCTCACAGACTTTACATTTTTTCCAATTTAGACTTTTTGGAGACCTTTCAGAAAGTCCAAGCTTCTTGCTAATTGCTTGTGAAAGTGTGACCTCAGAGCGCCGAGCAGGAAATTCCAGAGCGAGCAAAAGCACATTCACATGCATGTTTTCAAAATAATATTTCTCATCTGATCATTTGTTTGGCCTGCGGTTCACAGGTCTGCGTTCCCATGGCCGAGCGCTGTGATTGATGCTCTACATCTCCACTATTTGTTTTACAAACGCGCGACGCTCCTCTGGGAACAATACGCGAGAACTGGGAACGCTCTGCTGTCTGAAGAATTATTAAAATACTTGTGCAAGAGAAAACAGGTGGACGCGTTCACTTTCCCCAAACCGCAGACGAGAACGCCACGATGTTCAGACGGAAATAAATTCTCCACACTGTGCTTGTAATGTTGTGCTAAAACTCTGGCTACAGCTCTGGTGTCACGGGTCAAATTGCATTGGTTTCCAAGCAGTTCATTAGTCTAAGTAGTATTTATTTATTTTTTTTAAAATTGAAAATATATTTAGTTTCAACATTCATATGCCAAAATATATTTCAAAAAGTATTTCAGGGGCAAAAAAACAAACAAAAAAACATTTTCAGTCTTACAGTAGCCTACATTTACACTATGCAGATATGGATGGAATAGCCTACTAGAGATCAAAATTAAATTATTAATGATTTAATAATTTTTTATATATTGTATTTTTTACATTGTATTTTTTATTATTGTTCATTGTTGTAATATTTATTTATACATTGTATTTTTATGACTATTTTTTTACAATGTTCCTTGCAGATTTTTATAAACATTTAAGCATATAAAGCCTTTAAAAATATAAAAATAAAAATATTTGAATATATATATATTAATATATAAACAATGACAGAAAAATATATTGATAGAAAATAATTTTTTTATAAATATATTTTTACTTTTTTCAGGATTATTTGATGATTAAAAAATATTGTTATTGTCTTTCAAATTCTAAGAAATAAACTAATAAAACAAATGGTACAAATAATCCTGAAAAAGTATCACAGGTTCCAAAAAACAATATGAAGCAGCAACAGTTTCCAGGATTGATAACAAATCAGAATATTAGACTGATTTCTGAAGATCATGTGACACTGAAGACTGGAGTAATGATGCTGAAAATACAGCTGCGCATCACAGTATGCCAAAATATATTTCAAAAAGTATTTCAGGGGCAAAAAAACAAACAAAAAAACATTTTCAGTCTTACAGTAGCCTACATTTACACTATGCAGATATGGATGGAATAGCCTACTAGAGATCAAAATTAAATTATTAATGATTTAATAATTTTTTATATATTGTATTTTTTACATTGTATTTTTTATTATTGTTCATTGTTGTAATATTTATTTATACATTGTATTTTTATGACTATTTTTTTACAATGTTCCTTGCAGATTTTTATAAACATTTAAGCATATAAAGCCTTTAAAAATATAAAAATAAAAATATTTGAATATATATATATTAATATATAAACAATGACAGAAAAATATATTGATAGAAAATAATTTTTTTATAAATATATTTTAAAATATATGTTACCATTTTTTTTTTTTTTGTATATTAAAAAAAAAATTTTTTTTTTTTGGGAGTATGGGTTCTTTGGATGATTCAGAAGATAAGTCTCAAAAAAGTCTCAAGTTCTCATGTATTTCATATTTTAGTGTTTGACAAGCTACACTAAATCTTTCTGTTTTTCACGTGACTCTGCTGTTTTTCAAAGTGTTGATTTTTGCCAAACTGCATGGAAACCAATGAGGCTCAGTGAAGGAGTCAATATGACCCCGACACAAAAGCCTTTCCAAAACACATCTGTGCGTCGAAACATTGCATGCACATTCAACATCGAGTGTGAGTTTTAACGCGACGTTTCCCCTGAGCGAGAATTTAAATCAGCATCTCGTTCGTCTTCTCTCAGAAACAATCGCTAAACACCCAGAAGAGCCTTGAACTCTAATAATTGTGTGTAATTGGCAGCAGAGGGACATCCAGCAGCAGACCGTCCAAAGACTACAGCGGAACCAGGGGACCGAACTATATTAAGACGAGTAACTATTGCTCTAATGGCAGCCGAGCCAAAGCAAACACAACAAGGCCAGTGAACAGCAGTGTATTTACATATACATATCATTATTTCAAATGTATATACATAAAGTTATGAACAATATTAACATATACATATTATATAAAATGTTATAATTACATTTAATTATAATTCTATATATATATATAAATATAAAATTATATATATATATATATATAAATGGTCAAAAGTATTGGTAATAGATTTTAAAAGTGTGTAATTGGCAGCAGAGGGACATCCAGCAGCAGACCGTCCAAAGACTACAGCGGAACCAGGGGACCGAACTATATTAAGACGAGTAACTATTGCTCTAATGGCAGCCGAGCCAAAGCAAACACAACAAGGCCAGGAACCACAGGAATAATGTTGATGTACTACGCTCCAATCACTCACGCGTTTATCAGCGGCTCTCAAGCGCTCCACATGAAAGCCGGACTCCTGAAATCACAGTTTCTGCTGTTTGTTGGAGAAAGGTGTGTGATAATAAATCAGATGCGCTCGGGTCAGACGTGTAACCCGGGACAGCTGCCCATGGCGAGACACACAGGCGCTGGGGGACACGACCTTCCCCACAGACACCGCAGGGGCCCCGGCCCCAGAGCCGACCCTGATTCATCACCGCAGCTCACGCTTCTGCAGGAACTCACAGCCGTGTTCAGAGAGACTCCTGGCCAACAATACAAGCAGATTACGCTGAAACTTGGATTAAAGGGGTCATATGATGTTGCTAAAAAGAACATTATTTGGCGTAATGAAATGTGTTTATGCGGTTTAAGGTTCAAAAAACACATTATTTTCCACATACTGTACATTATTACCCATTATAAACGAGGCATTTGTTGCATCCAGTGGGGACATAATTACGGATTATAATGACTCATGCACCTCAGTTTTGAGTGAAAAAGCATTATTTGTGGATAATTGGATAATGAGCTCAGATCAACGAGGCCTACGATCAGTCAGGTGCAAAATAAAATACAAAACCTGTGCTAAATTAATCAAAAGTAGTTGAGAAAAAGACTGAATCCAATATTTGGTAATAATATAACACAACGGAAAATCCCCTCAAAATTATAAAAATTATAACATTTTCTTCAAATGTGACGTAAATTAATTTTCTTGCATTAAAATATTTGGAGGGCAAAATATATTTTTAAATGCTTTTTAAAAATCATTTTTGTTTGTTTATATATGTATATATATATATATATATATTTTTTTTTTTTTTTATACCAAAAAAATGGCCAAAAATATATTGGTAGAAAATTTTTAGCACATATATTTTTAACCTTCTGGTGCTCTACAGTCATTTTTGACCAAAAAAAAAAAAAGTAGATTTTGGGTTTTTTTATAGTTTTTTTTTTTCTTTTTTTGGGACTAAACTTGATACAGGTTTTGGCACTTCTAGTGGAAACGTCTGGTACTGCGCCCAAACAAACTCTTACTGAATGTTCTGGGGCTTTTTGTGATATCAACCTCAAATTTGGAACACAGCTTGTTTGGATTTAACACTTTGATTTTGCCGCAGTTTTAGAGTAAAACATGTCTTGTAAAATATACATTTCATATAAAATTCTAAAAAAAATACTTTTGTGCATTTTTTATAATAATAAACGTAAACTTCTATAACTTTTTTTTTTTTCAATTTTGTAACAAACTTTTTCAAGAAAAGGAATCAGCGATTTTTGACCCCCATGCGAGCACCAGAGGGTTAAACATATGTAAATATGAAATAATTGAAAGAAAACAACTTGACAAAAAGATTGAATCCAATATGTGGTGTCAAATTTATATTTTGTTTGTCGGCTGGTTATTTCTGACCAAGAACAAGGTGGGGAAAAATTGTAAAAGTTATTTTTAAGAAAAAAAAATGAAGTTGTTCTACCCTGTGTGAGTAAAGTCACTAAGTTTAGTCCAAGTTCATCAAATACAATCACCCAGTTTAATGCTAATCAAAGTTTGGTCATTACTTTATTCACAAGAACATTTTTTGGCCAATGGTGTTTATGTACAAAAATGTTAAAACCATGCAAACAAAAGCTGGATTTGAGCCGAACACATCCTGAAAATACAGCACAATCATGATTATCAGAGATCCACATGATTCATCAAAACTAAAGAGATTCTGTGTGTTTAGAAAAGGAGCACAGCTGCATTCAGTGAAACATCAGAAAGCTTCTCGATGACTTTGATTAAAAAGTGTCTCAATCATATTAAAGCTCTGGGAAACACAAGATATAAAGTTGATCTGGGAATAACAAAGATAACCCCACATTCAGTCTGCTGTGACCGCAATGATTCGCTTCACATGTCGGTGCATACGAGCTGAAATATTAAATAATCATAAAAGTGCCTTACAGCATGATATGGGAGAAATATAATATTCAGAATTTACATTTTATACAAAGGAAAGTCATTTTTGGTGAAATGTAAGTCATGCTGCCTAATGGTGCAGTTACACAGACGTGATGCGTTTCTGTCCCAAACACAGAAAAACACATCTACAGATATATATTATATATGAATCATTTTTTTGTATGCTGGTCTGACCCTCAACGCTGCAAAAAGTGACATTCTTCCTCAGTATTTTTATTATCTTTTATCTTGTTTTCCAGTACAAATATCTGTCTTGATTATATACACACTAGCAGTCAAAAGTTCTTGAGCAGTAAGATTTTTAATGTGTTTTAAAGAAGTCTCTTCTGCTCACCGAGCCTGCATTTATTTGATCAGAAATACAGAAAAAACAGTAAAATTGTGACATATTTTTACTTTGTGAATATCTGTTAAACTGTAATTTATTTCTGTGATCAAAGCTGTATTTTCAGTATTTCAAAGCTGTATTTCTCGAGCAGCAAATCAGCATATTATACTGATTTCTGAAGATCATGTGACACTGAAGACTGGAGTAAATGATGCTGAAAATACAGCTGCGCATCACAGAAATAAATTACAGTTTAACAGATGTTAAAACAGAAAACAGCTGTTTGAAATAGTAAAAATATTCCACAATTTTACTGATTTTGCTGTATTTCTGATCAAATAAATGCAGGCTCGGTGAGCAGAAGAGACTTCTTTAAAACACATTAAAAATCTTACTGTTAGCACTTTAGCACTGTATTTAGCAACTTTCAGACCCCTGTAGTGACTTTTTTCCATAAAAGTTAGATAGTGACGAACCTAGCGACTGTCGATTACTGACTGTTTGGGCTTATAAATATGAACATAGTTCATCTGTAAATATGCACATAGTTAGTTCCTCAGACGCAGGCGCTGCATGAGACCAAAAACTAATCTAGCCAAAACCACCGCATACAGCTGCTCTGTAGTTGATTTTATTAATCGTTATAAATCAAGATTTAAGGAGGATAGAGAGAGTGGTTAACATGTAGCATTAATTCCTCACCTGTAAGTCGCTTTGGATAAAAGCGTCTGCTAGATGAATAAACGTAAATGTAAATTAACAGGTCGTGTTTAGTCACTATTTACAGTTTTTTTATGTTATGACAACATAAATTATGTAAATGGGAACAGCTTTATTGTGCATTCAGTTGTATTACAAACACCACGCATATATATCACACTTTTTATTTTATTTTTGCATATTTTATATGTATATGTATGTTTTGTATCTTATTTTTATTCTTTACTTACACCTTATTTAATACTTTTTTATTATTATTCAATGGAAATGCAAAATGACTTGTTATAAAATAATAAAATAATTAATTAAAATAATAATAAAAAAATGCTAATGGGATAAAAAAAAATGGAAAACAAGTTTCTTTTTCTGACCCCATTGATAGATTATTATTTGTTTTAATATTTTTTTTTTTAAGCATAAACTCACTTGATTTCTCAAAAAACAGGATTTCTTATCGCATGTCATTTTGCATTTCCAATTAAAAAAATGTTTTTTTTCATTTTAAACTCTATGCTCAATAATATCTTAATATCGTAAGTCATTTTGCACCTCAAATGTATCTTGATTTAAGGATGTTTAGATTTTTGTACTGGAAAGCAAGGCAGAAATACTGATGAAGAACATGAGTTCTTGTCTTCTAAACACAGTCTCATTTCACGAACTCATGAATAAATAATCTCCCTGATAGCCCCGCCCCCAATAGCCACGCCCCCTATCTGTGCCAGGATCGATATCTCTTAACATCTCACTTACTTTATTACTGCTTTTGGTTTTCTGCGTGTGATTGAGAGTTTCTCCGAGGAAATCTTTGGTTTTGCTTAAGTGTTCGTGACATTTAATCATGATTTTCCCTGGCCGTTTAATTCCGGCCGGTCAATCAGTTAATCCACCTCGATTGATTCGCTGCTCTCACTGATGGGTTTGCACTCGTTGGGCATCCGCTGGTGTCTGCTGAGCTGAGTGGCCTGCGTGAAGCTGCGCTCGCACCGCTCGCACCTGCACACACACACACACACACACAGGTCAGTCTCATATAAGCGCCACTGACAGCTGAGAGCGGCTGTAATTGCGAGTCCTGATGACGAGCGCACAGAGAGCCTGTCAATAATGCGGCCCCCGGAGACCCCTGTCCAGATCGGGCCCCGCGTCAGAGTCACACACAGATCAAGAACAATCAGAGACACTCAGAATCTGGAGCGGAGTTCAGTCTGAGAAGCACACAGCAACTTCAGAAACGAAAATAATATCATTATTCTCAAACATTTGGATAAAAGCATCTTCTAAATGCATCGAAGTCGCTTACGACTGCATTCAGTGCAAAAATAAACCAAGATATACGACAAAAGACACGAGTCCAAGAAATTGATAAAAAAAAAATATGCTTAAAACGGTGTAAATATATATATATATATATATCGGCCAACTGCGTCAGAAAAAATGAACAGAACTTAAAGAGAAAACAACCTTTAATGGCAGATATTTGTTCTTCTTTTTAAGCATAAAATCACTTCATTTTGATCAATAACATTTATCTCCAGTAAATGGGATCTCACTTCATTTAATTTATTTAAATAATTAAATATTATATTAAATGTTTAATATTAAATCAAATTGATATTATATTATGTTATGTTATGTTTATATCATTTGTGACCCTGCAGCACAAAAGCAGTGTTAAGTCGCTGGGGTATATTTGTAGCAATAGCCAACAATACATTGTATGGGTCAAAATTATACATTTTTCTTTTATGCCAAAAATCATTAGGATATTAAGTAAAGATCATGTTCCATGAAGATATTTAGTCAATTTCCTACCGTAAATATATCAAAACTTAATTTTTGATTAGTAATATGCATTGCTAAGAACTTCATTTGGACAACTTTAAAGATGATTTTCTCAATATTTTGATTTTTTTGCACCCTCAGATTCCAGATTTTCAAATAGTTGCATCTCAGCCAAATATTGTCCTATCCTAACAAACCATACATCAATGGAAAGCTTATTTATTCAGTTTAGTCTCCAGTAAATGTGTCTTGATGTAAGAATGTTTAGATATTGTAGATATCCGTCTGCTACTGCATGGATGTAAATGTGCAGAATGCTCCGATGGCATTCGATATGTTCATGAATCTCCTGACAGACGCAGTAAACTGGAGGAACGGCAGCCTTATTCTGTCAAGCACATCGGCTCAATGAGAGCAACTCAGTGCTATTGATCAGCTAAAGATTTCTGTGCGCTTCTAATGATTGTCTTTGCTGAAACGCTGATGACACCTTTGTGTTTCACTGATTGCTTATTAGATGCTTGATTTGTTACTGGAGCACAACTGCTGCACGTCTGAGAGACGACAGACATAAAAGACACGAGAAACATTCAACAGCAGCAGCTCCAGATAACACACACACACACACACACACTCTCTCTCTCTCA